GGCTTGAATGCCGCACAAGGGCGGGTCTTGTGAAGAAAAGTAGTGGGATTCAGAATGACGCATGTCGGACAACTACAGTGACCTTCAGGTCACGTGAAAGCATGACAAGCCCTCTTCAGAGCCAGCGTTTGGTTTGTCCGTTCTGGACTACTGTAGAAACATGGCGGACTTGGCAAAGATATAGATATGAAGGGCTCATTCTAATGTAACAAAAATACAAAAACAATTCACTAATGTAATAATACACACTGGTACTTCAAGTTTGAAAGAAGACGTTTACGATTAACAGAGTATTTTTGCATAGTTGTTTTGGTACTTTTATTTAAGCAAAGACTCTAAATACTTTTTCCACCACTGTTCCCTTGAAGCTGTTGCAAAAGAGACAACGACCACCATACCTGAACTTTCTCCCACAAGGACATATCCGAATATTTCCAACTCAACAGAATTAACACCTGGAATGGACACCAGAAGGCCTGCAAACCTTTCGACAGGTAGGAAGAAAAACATCATCAAAATTGAATCCTTATGAATATAAAAGATAGATTACAAAAAACACAATGTACAAGTAATATTCCATCCAACCTCGCAGCTTCAAACAACACCAATGGCGGAAAACAGAACAGCACAGGTTAGTTTATATCTCATCACTTGGTGTGTGCAGTCGTGCATGAATATCAGTCGCTTGTGGATAATGTCAAATTGTTGAGCCATGTCTCCTGTTTCTGGTCAGGCACCGTGTTGTACGCTACAGTCGGGGCTGTTGCCATGCTCACTGTTTTGATGCTGGCAATAATCATCAGGAAACACAGGGTGAACATCAAACCTCAACCACAGGTTTGCTCCAAAAGCACAGACGGCGTCGGTGCAGATGAAACGGAGGTACGAGTCTTTTCACGACACACAGCAATTGTCTTCCTAGAGAAAGATGACGATCGTCTTGGCAGCGAATCAAATGAAGCCGATGAAGTTCCCTTTCCTGGTTTCAGAGGTCAATTTACAAAGAGGGTTTTCCCAAAAGTCCGTCAGCTCATATTTCTCTTTAAGATGCTATAAAACCCACACCTAATTGGTGTTTTCATTTGCATTTGTAATTTTCGGAAAGATGCTTATTTGCATACTTGCTGAGAGTTAGATGAGAAGATAGATGCCAGGCTAATTCCTCTGTTAAATATGACACCTTGGTGAGCCTCAAAGATTGTCACTTTTTTTATATTTGAGTCTGCAGCAAATTATATTTACAATGCAATTTTTTAATAATATTGAACTACATCAGTAAAATTAAAGTGGTATCTATATATGTGTTACTGAGTAGATTCAGCCCAGTGAGATGAAGAACATACTTGAACTAATAAATGCTGATTTGCTTTTCCTTCGCCACTTTTCAACAGGCTGACTGCGAGTACGATGACATTGGCGAGGACGTGCAGTCCTCTTGTTCTCACCACCCAAAGCAGAATCCACCGACAGATGCGACCGCAGCCGTCGAATGTAGCGTACCTCTTCACATTTATGAAAACATCTGTTGCTACAAAGGCACCGAACATTCAAGACACTCAGCTGCAAATGACCAAGACAAACATGACACAAGCTCTGTGATCTACATCAAACCTTTGCCACCTATATGTGAAAGAACTGGCAAAGGCCATCTTGGAAAACACACGAATAAACCGACAGCAACTAAAAATGCAACAAGCAAACCAACAGAGAGCTGTACGGGCAATGCATCTGCCTGTCACTGCAGATCTTGCAGTGATTCCACAGACGTGAGGCCAAGATCACTTTGGTTTGGTTTGGATGCATCATTAACAGTGTGAGTTACGCCCCAAAGTATGATTGGTGGGATTTTTATGGACACTGATGTACAACTGAACTGTACCTCCTACGATGCTTCCTCAGTGAAACCAACGTTTACAATGAACTACATTTGTATCCTTTACAAAGGTATGCCGAGGGTTGTAGACATGTTCTGTCTGTGCATTGATTTAGAGTCATTATTTGTGTGCCAACAGAGAGACAATCTTACCTTTAGCTGGAAAAAGCAAACAAAGGAATATGTTTTCATTCACGGAATTACTTTACAGACTTTTGAATATTTGTTCCTTGATAGTACACGATTGAGTAGAGGGAGAAAGGACGGATGGGTGACGGTGTTCCAATCTCAGATAGATTAATAAAATGAAATCTGATCTACAGTCCTAGAATTTATTAATTAAAAGCTTGAGACTTAAGATTTTAACTGGAATATGACAGCGTTTGTATGGATTTTTGTCTACCTGTATACACAAAAGAAACCTCTATCACGGTGTCAACAAGAAGTTATCATAAACTTCACAGGAGTGGTACCAAGATAGGTAGCACTGTTATTCCACATTGTACCGCCTTACAAAGGCAGAGAGCAGTAATTACACAAAGAGTGATGTTGTGAAAAAAGGAGATTGAAGTTCGAAGGCTCTTAACCAAACTGTGTAACATATGTACAGTATATATATGGTAAAACCTTTGTGTCTTTTTAGGATGATTATTAATCATCCCAGACTTAAGATAAAAAGGAGTTTAAATACCAAACAATGTAAAGGGCGCAAGGAAAGGAAAGGCAGCATGTACAAACAAAATATCTCTTTGTTTCTTCAGCTTTCTTGTTCATTTGAATTAACAAGCTAAATACATCAGTGATTTAAAGGCTCAACCAGTTACTGCTACTCTGCTGAGCTAGGCTTGTTACCTTTAAACAGGAAACGTTTCTTTTTTTCATTATGATTAGATTTAAATTATGCCTTTTATATTAAGTATCAAAAGTACATTTCCAATTACAGGGAACTGGGTAAATTAGATGAGAAGTTATCTCACCAGCTAGCCCTGACTAGCCATAATGTGGCACCTGCAGCCACTGCATTTTAATTTATATTTATGCTTTCTGTTTTTTGCAAAAAAATGTCCACCTGTCAGGGAGAGATCGTGGCGACAATGTTGCGTGTTTCAACGTCGACACGTGCAGCCATTTTCTCGGTAAATCTCCACCGCATCGATTAGTTTAGCTACGAGGTTGTCGGCTGTGTGTAATGTAAGCCCAAAGGCGTGTGTGACTGTGAGTATGAAGTTAACAGCAACTTTGAACATAGCTCTGAACATAGCAGTGCAGTGTGTGTACAGTTTATTTGTTGGTGAATAAATGCTACAACTCCTCAAGACCCAAGCCAAGTCCCCGTGTCTCGCTTGCTATACCTGCTGATCAAAATTAAACTCAGCTTCTCCCGTCTTTAAACAAAAGAATACAATGGTTCTTCAGCAGTTAATCGATCAAAATTCTTATTGTAGGTGTGACTGTTTGTGTCGGATTATGTCGGGACACAAATACATATATGAATGTGTTTGCATGTAATTATGGATAAGGGGGATAAAGTTTTATAAGTCAGTAGAAGTATTAACGTATGTCTGTACCTTAAAATAAAATAAACACAGATGCCTCTGTGTGTAGTATGATAAAGCTTCTGCCTTTGGCGATTCCTAGTGGTCATATTTAATAAAGACACTGTGGCCTGAACATTGAAACAACCCACAAAGTTATAATTTCTAGCACATTACTGTGAAACTTTTAAACTTATTATTTTGTGTGCACTGTTGGGCATCATCAAATGGATGAATAATTCATAATGAAGTGGAAAGAAAGGATGTTTAAGGCTTACTTGCATGAATAATGTAACAAAAGACAGACTTGCTTCATGAATTTTCATCTGATAGAACAATAGGGAGAAAGTACGACATGTGTCAATGGAACATACATACATATGTTGTTTGGCATCAGCCTTGAACTTAATGTTTTATTTCATTCAACATTTTCTAATATTTAATATCACTCTTCATGACCTTTTCAAGTATTGTTGTTACACAGATCAGTGTTATTAATAATAATAATATGTGTCAACATATAGATGACGCCAAAGAATAACAGGTGGCCTTTTTTAATGAAGCATACTTTATAAATTGTTCGTACAATGCAAGCGCTATTGTTCTTTTTTGGACCACTTGAGGGAACAATCTGTGTGGCGAAAGTATCAGCTATTTATTTACACATCCAGCAAACACAGAGCAACACTATCATCTAGTAGTAGTTGTGTCCACCCAAAATCTCTCTCATCTCCTGACGACAACACTTGGCTCTTTAGCTGCTTTATGCTCAACTATGTTCACCACACAGTCACTAACTGTGTCCGTTTGCATGCGGAGCTCTCGGCAGTCAGGGAACAGTTAAGTTATTAAAAAGAACTGAAACGGCTTCCTGCGGCTGCTGGAAACAAATCTCACACGAGCAGTGAGAATAATTGGCAACAGTAAAGCTACGGGCCATAAAACCAACACAATCAGCTGAGACGCTCAACTGTTTAACTTCAGTCTGGTGATAATTCTCTGTGGGTCCGTCACTACGAATGAAACCATTCACATTATAAGTTATCATTTGATCCGTTATTAATTAAAAAACATTGATTGGTGCAGATTGATTTTCACAACTCATTTATGTATCCTTTATACAGTAATAACAACATCTGGGTTAGCACACCATGACAAATCTATTTAACTGGAGTTGAACTTCATCACACCTACTACCTACCAGATAGCAACACTGGAGTCAAGAACAAGTACAGTTTGTGATGAGTCGAGAGGATTACAGAGGACTATGATTGCCTTGAAGGATGCAGTGAATTAAACCCAGATTTATTTTCTTAATTTAAGAAAAAAAAAAAAACAGTGAACTCCGGATGTGCTGATTTAAAAAAAAAAAAAAGGTTTGTGAATACACATGAAGGTAACTTTCTGAGTCACCTAAGCCGCCATGATTTCACTTTCACAGGTTGAAGGTTGTGTGTGGACTGGTTTGTTCATGAAAGAGGAAGAGGTTTAAACACATGGACATGAAAGCCCCAGATTGAACACACGGACACGGTCTTTCGTCCAGGTTGCTGCCTCATCGGGCTGCTGGGGAGGAATCTGCGTGTTGCAAACTGAAGGTAAACTGGGAGTGATGGGAGCAACCTGGATCTCATGGAGAACCACTACAACTGTCATCATTACTATACTACAGATCCAAGGTGGGCCGCGTGCTATGCATTAAAGATGACGTAATAGACTTTACTTGAGTTCAACTATTTGTTAAAACACATGATTACATAACTAACAGCTTTTGTTTCCAAATGACAGCTCGGATCAGTGTCAAAACCACGGCTGTTAACGGTGTGGAGGGCCAGAGATTTGACTTCAGATGTAAATATGAAGACGGCCAGCAGAACAATGCTAAGTACTTCTGCTATGAAAATGACGACAATGATGACAAAATGTCCTCCACCCTGATACGGACACAAAAACACGACCAGTGGGATAAAGGTGGACGCTTCTCTCTGTACGACAACACCACCGGAGCCTTCTTCATCGTCAGGGTGGACAGCCTCACCTCAGAGGACAGCGGGACGTACCGGTGTGGGGTGAACGCGATCCCTGATCATATCAGTTTCATACATCTGAATGTTTCCCGAGGTACCGTATGTTGACTGCTTATACATGGCACAAAATCTGGTTCCCGGTTGGTGCCTTACAGTGAAATAAGAAGTTAACAAAACAGATGCTGAATAGTTTCTGTCGACCTAGTGGTTTCGATCTAAAAATGTCAGGCCTCTTACTATAAATAAGTAGTGTTACAGTAATAGTAGTGCTTTTCGTTTTTTTGTGAACCAATCATTTTTAGCTGCCCTTCATCAACAGCAAACCCTCCAGAAAATCTCACACATCACATTAAGTAAATCTGTGTAACTACACAATTCATCAGGGAGCTCTGTGTGTTTATTCTTGTTCTCTGTATAAACACTTTGGGCTTTTATTTGTCACTGTGCTTTCCAGTTACTGAATCACCCATCTTTCCGTTGGATGGCCCAGTGAACAGTGAGTGATTGTGTGTGTGTGTGTGTGTGTGTGTGTGTGTTTTCATGGTATTCACAATTCTATGTGTGTGTGAGTGAAGTTCACTTATTGTTCCCTCCTGCAGAGATCCACCTGTCGCTGTTCGTGACTGCAGCGATGTGCATTGCAGCGATGCTGTTCATATGTCTGTTCACGCTTTGCCTTCTGCTGGCTATTAGACACCAAAGACCTGGCGCCCGCCAGAATAGAGAGGTTTGTCCAAACTTTTAGCAACACTAGCAGCAAGGCTACAGCGATGTCGCTCAGTCTGACACTGTTATCAAGACTGAAATACATCTCAGCAACCAGTGGATGGATTGGCATGAATCTTAGTACAGATATTAACGTTCCCATCGGGATGAATTGCAATACGTTTGGTGATTCTCTGACTTTTTATCTAACACCATCATTGTCATTAACCAAAGTATGGGTCAATGTGTCCCATACTTTGGTTAATGACTATAGACCTGCAACACTAAAGACATTCCCATCAAGCTCAGCTGTACTTGTATTTAGTGCTAAATGTTGAGCTGGATTTATAATTGATGCAATGGGTTAACCTACGGCTTAGGTTTTGATTTATAGTCGGGCGTCAGATGTCACCCATTGATGATCACCTGGTGATCACAAAGTAAACATTATACATGCTAAACATCCACATTTTAGCATCGTTACCGTGAGCATGTTAGCATTTAGCTCAATGTGCCTTAGTCACAGTGATGCTAGCATGTCTGGAGACGCTCAGTCTCGTTAGCTGACTGTAAGAACCACTTTATCAAGTAAACACTAACAAATTAGCATTCAGAGAATACTATGACATCTCGTGCAAGAAGCAGTTCACTGTGAGCAGGTTTCTGTTCATCCCACAGACATCATCCGACTATGAGACCATGATGCCTGGTGTAAGAACTGAACCTGAACTGAGCTGCAGCTCACCGACTCCAGACTGCGCCGATCCTTCGGCTTTACCATCGCCACCACCTGACCTCTGCTCCCACTTCACATCAAAGCATCGGGAGTCCACTGTCACTCTCGACGAATATGTCGATGTGGATGTGCCAAAGCAGTACCAACATCTGGATCTCAGCCGGCTAGAGGAGCACGTCTATCACAGCCTTAATGGACTCAGCGATCCTAAAGATGGACCTCTGGGAGTCAAAAAGCAGATCAACTGTTGAAGGATAATTCCGGGTTAATTACGGCCAATGGAGAGTCAGAAACTTCATTGTTAACCTTTGTTTTCTTGTAGCTGTGCTCCCAGATCTTGGTGTTAATATTATTGATAAGAATGAAAGTTAGCGATAAAGGAACTTTAGTAATTCAAGAGGTTATTGTGTTAATTATTACTGTATTTAGGTATTTCTAGAGGAAATAGTTTTGCAACTGAAAAGAAGAACTGTTTGAGCAAGACTCAACTCAAGCTCGTCAAGAGTTGAACAAATCCACGAAGAGGAGCACACTGGAAGCTTTAAGCTCCGTCTCTCGCTTTGCTTTCTGATATATTTCACCAAAATAAACCAAATGGTAATATCTGAGGGTGTCCTTGTGTTAATTATTTACTGGCCTGATTGATGTGAAACTTTCACTTTGAGACGAGCAAGAGATGGGAAGGGACCTTTTGGTGCTTCTCACAAGTGGTTTTGTTCGTGAGATGAGGAAGCCGGCTAAACAAAGGAAGTGCAACAACAAAGAGGAACCTGTGACAAACGCAGAGTCATCATTCGTTTGGAGAAAAATACAAAGAAAATTGAAAATCAGGGTGAGTTAAGAAAAGGCAAAGGAAAGTGACATGTACATGCTGCGTGTGAAGATGATTTTCCTCATTTTGATCTTTCTTCTGGGAGGTAAGTTTACAAAGGTTAATCCGTTTGTCTCTCTCTCTTTGTTCCTCTATCTGAATGTTTAGTGTCTTTCTCAGGTGTTAGGGTTCGCCTTCCTGATTTTGTGATTTGTCAGTTTTGTTGGCAGCTGTATCAAGATTACTGAGTGCACTTTTTGAGGAGCATTTTTCAAAAGTACCGTTTAGTTTAACCTCTTCAAGCCTCTAAGAATATTCAAATGAAACAATCAGAACAGAATAAACAGCCTCTAACTGTAGACATATGCAACTTGTGTCCGGGGCCAGAAAGCAAAAGGGCCAGAAACCGTAAAAGTTTGAGAATTTTACGTCCTTCTGGTTGGTGATATACCGTGTAACTACAAAATGAAGATCTGACTTTGTTGCTGTCTGTGTGTTTTGTCCAGGGTTATGGGAGACTGAAGCCGTGTCAGTAACAGGAGTGGTGGGAGAGGAGGTGAAAATAAAATGCTCTCACTCGAACGCATTTAACAACGTCAAATATTTCTGCAAGGGACCATGTAAAAGTGAAGACATCCTAGTCAAAAGCAGAACAAATAAGGATTCAAATGAGAAATACAGTATTACAGATGAAGGAAACACATTCTACGTGACCATCTCTCGTCTGACAGCCGATGACTCAGGAACTTATAGGTGTGGAATTGACAGAGCTGGTCTGGACACATACAATGAAGTAGTCCTCGCAGTCATAGAGGGTGAGTTGATTCGGCATTGTGTATGAATAGCTTCCATGACGTTGTTATCCCTAGTCACTTCAAAGATGAAAACCTTTGTCCCATTTCCTTTTTACTAGAATATGACCAATATTTCACAACAGTCTGTCTCAAGCTGATCTTCTTTGTTTCGCAACAGACAGCAATTAAAGGAAAGAAATGAGAGACCAACACAGCACATACAATGTGACTGAGGGACGAGGATTAAAATTAAAATGATTGTTTCTAATTTCTTTCAGGAAACACACAGGATCCTGACAATGACTCACAATCAAATTCAAGTACGTTCATCCTAAGCAACTGTCTGGATGTGTGTGTGTGAGAGACTCCTGAGTGATGTGTCATCACTGAGGTGTGATGTCGTCTCTTTGTTTCAGATAAGCTGGTGTACATTGGAGCTGGTCTCGGGGTGCTTGTGCTGGCTCTGGCGATGGTCCTTTTAATCTTCTTCAGACATCGAAACAGAGGCATCCACACATTTTCTGGTATAAAACGAATAGACTCGTATGATAATATTTTCAGAACTCAGCAATACCCAGGCCTGAACACTATAACAAGCACCTATAGCAGCCACCTCACAAGTATCTAGCACTTTTCTTGAACTTCTGCCCAGTGAGCCATGGCAACCACCACAAACAACCACATATAGCAGACTCCAATATGGCGCCCAGTCACTTGAATAAAGTTGCAGAGTGCGTAAGTCAAAAGAGTTTCGGCATATTATTGTAATTTCCACTATATGTATTTCCGTCTACTCTGTAAATCTGACATATGTCCTGGAAGAGGTGTCTCTCCTCTGCTGCTCTCCCTGGGGTTTCTTCATGAAATTTATTGTACTTTTTAATTATTTTTATTTGCTGCTTTTAATGCAGCGTTTTTTTCAGGGAGTGAAAGTAATAAAAATCTAGTTTTCATTCGTCTGGGATCTAACACTTTGTGAATCATCACTCTCCATGCAGGAAAGAACCATGACCCGGTCAATGCGACAGTTTCCTGTCAGAAACAAGATGGACACCACATCACTACTCCCTCTTCAACAGCCAATGAGTACCGAGAAACAGACAGCAGGACAAACAGCATCTCTTCGACTGTTCAACACCAAGACTTCGGAGGCGATCGCTCAGACAATATTTATTCCAACGTCTCCGTTTCATCCGGCTCTCAGATCCAACCAGACGGCCTCCTCTACACCACGGTTAGCTTCAACAAACACACAGACGGCAGCGCTGACACACCTGGCACCGCAGAGCTTACATACTCCGCCATTAATCACGACGCAGCAGATGAATCCGCAGTCTATGACAATGTGAGAACTCAGTTGTGATCATCTCAAGTGCAGTAAAAGTCTGTGTGATGCTCAACTGAAAATACCCACCATTCACACATTTCTGTAAAACTAAATTCACAGGTTGTTGTGAATTAATTATTCAGATAATTCAGAATGTATTTATTGATTAAGAAATATATAGATAACTAAAATATAATTCTGGTCAGTAGATTTTGTATTTTAACCTAATAAAAACAACATTGTCAAATCAATATAGATAGATTTTCTTCTGTGAGACGCCTACCACCAATACACACACACTCACACACACTCACACACACTCACTCAGCTTTAATGAAATAGAAACTGAGAAAAGGAAGAGGCTATAGTGGACAGGTGTCACACCTACAGCTCTAATTAACCTCAAGACTTCCCGGTTCATTGTGGGGCTCCAGTCGTGTTTCTAGAAGAGGATGTAAGCCTTCAGATTGAATTTAGACTCAGTGGAGTGGTCTGAGAGTTGGTTAAGGGCAGAGAACCCAGTAGAGTCTAAGGAAAACACAAGCTGAGAGAGAATGTTTGCAAAGATCGCAATAGAGTGCTGGAGGAAGGAGTTGTAAAACCAGGAAATGAGTTGGCATTTTTGCACTTCTGATTTCCCATTAAAAAAAACAATAAAAGTGGTGTTCATTTGTGAATATTATCTTGCTGAACAAAGAGCTTATTTTCTGCAATAAACCAAAATCCAATGAAAAGAATCCCATTGACGTTTTGTTGAGGGAACCAGAGTGATGATAACTTCCAGGTTGGCCAACAAAAATACGTAATTTAGCCAAAAAACAAACACCTACTGTGCTTATTTTTCTAATTTGAAGCATCAGAAGAATCAAAGACACATCTCACCAAAGGAGGGAGGAGTTGACATCTCCTGCCGATATGACCCTGGGAATGAAACATGTTTTAATGTGATGATTCTCATTAAAACCAACGTTAAAATGTTTAAAGAGAGGATGCAGAGAGGGACATATTATCCCTGTGATGATATGAAAGATCCTGCATGTGACCATCAATAAACTGCCCCTGAATGATGCCAAAACATACTACTGTGAAATAGATACGTACACGTTTGATTCTAAAACAGAAGTCAAGCTAAAATTCTACAAAGGTAAGTCAAAGTTATCCATTTTCCTTACATGTTACCGCGCTTTCTTTGACAAGTTTTTAATATAAGTTTTATACAAGGTCTAAATCATTGGAAATTGGTTCCATCTGTGTGCAGCATACTGTAATATCACCTGTTTCCTCTTCAGGGGTTTGTATTGGGGACTGGTTTTAAAAAGGGAAAGTTTACGATAGTTTGCTATTCAAATACTAAATGTATCTTACGAGGTTGTTTGTATTAAGTTGAAGTAAGAATTAGCAGTTGTGATAAATTTAAGAGGGCTTGGGGTTTTTTTGTCCTGGAAATAAGCAAAACTCAACAGGTAAACATATAAGAGATAACTAGGATAAATCTTTTTATACAGTATTCTAATGTGGCATTTCACTTTGCTCTAGTGTTACCACCACTGGCAGGAAAAGAGCTGTTGTGATTGCTGCTGCTGAGTCTGTTGGTGTTTCTGTACTGTAGACTGAGGAAACACAGACATGATGACCTCAATTTATGTAACTTGCAAGTCTCTGCAACATGATTATCCAACGATTCTCTGACCACAAACCAGGTTGTGTGGGTCCAGAGCTTCAACACGGAGGCAGCGCCCCCGGCCCTGGAGAGAGATTAGATCAGCTGCTTGACCTGCTTTCATATCCTCATCTGTGTGTTTGTTAGCTTGTCAATCATCCATCCATGCACTTTGATGGCAGATTTGACAATTATAGTCACAGTGTGTTATTTTGCTTATTCACTGCATCATTTTATAACTTGTTCTTGTGTGGAACAGTATTTCTCCAATAAACCCACTAACCTTACACCTTATTTATTAAAAAGTCAGGTCTCATTCATCTCCCAGCTTTATTCCACTCATATTATAAAAACAAATCTATTTTTTTTCTTAACCTCCTCAGATGAGAAATGAGGTGAATGTATTTATCATTGCTATAATTTTTTTTATGATGGATGTTTGCCTGAAAAGTGTCAAATAAGGCTGTGTAGCGTCTACTGAACAGTGACACCTGTGGCTACAAGTAGCACTTACAGGATAATGGTAAATGGTAAAACTCATAAAGTCCACAAAGTGACTCAGTAATGTCAATTCCACAATGATATCTAAAGGCCAATGGTCATACCGGACAGAGTAAGCAGCAGAACCTTTGAGTGCATTGATTTGAACAAAGTTATGTTTATTTTGTTAATTTCACTTTCCATTTGTGTGAGGAAGAATGTGTTAAATTTGCTTTCAAAGTCTCACTTAAAACTTTAGAAGGTATCCTCCCATTAATGGTTGTTTTGACCATCTAAAAATAACTCAAAATGCAATAACTCAAAATCCAAATATGTTGGTAAGTGATATGATACTCATAAGGGTTTAGAGGTTGACTTCATCTGGAGGCCTCCCGGGGGAGAACTGCAAAACAAAGATAATGTGAACGGGTGAAAGTCACATGATACCTGATCACACAGACATGTGACACTCATTTTTAGATTCAGTTCTAAATTTATATTAATCTCTGAAAATACGTTCCTTAAAGGTCCAGAACATGCCAGAGAATCATCACATTTTAAGTTTTTATCAGAATGAAAGTAATCCAGAGACAGTTGTCTTTGTATCCATTGCAAACTGGAACTGCTAATAACTGATTCAGCATGCTTTTAATGGGGCCACTTTGCCAAAATGTAAACAAATATAACATATAAATGGGGCTTAAGTGGTTTTGGATTTTTATGGAATTTAATTGTCAACTTCAAATCATCAAATATTTCTATTTATTTAACAACATCTTCTTTTATTTATTTATTTATCGGAACCTGTGTCTGAATGGGTTAAATCAATGAGTTTCTACAGACGTTTTTGATCCAAAGTTGGGACATTGTGGACAATGTTCTGTGAAGAACAACCATATTTGGTTTTACGTCTTAACAGATGAGGAGATCATGAGATGCAGCAGGTGAAGAATTACTCTGAATATTTGTCAGCACTTTCGCTCTCCATCACTCTCTCTACTTGCTTTCTTTCTCTGCATAAAAAAGCATCCTCATTTTAAAATGCAAATATTTCTAATTATGTTCCAGAAAGCAGAAGCTACTCAGAGAGACAGAAGGTGTGACAGTAGTACACTGATGCCATGCCGAGAGAAAGCAGAGAAGAACGGCTTCATATTTGATAAAGTGATATTTAAACTATACTAGAAAAAAATAGACTGAGAAAATGAGAATATCACTGGAAGTCATCATTTACCTAATGACAGGTATATTATACTACATGTGTTTCTATGTGATGAGTGAAAAACCTGTTTACAGTGTTATGAAGTAATAACTTCTTGTTTTCTTACAATTTTTTCAACAGCTAGTGTGAGATTATCATCTGTCATAGGAAACAAAGGAGGAGGTGTTGACATAAACTGTAAGTACGATGAAGTAGTAAAGCATCACGCAAAATACTGTTGAGAAGACGCGCTAGCTTGTTTAATGTCAAATGAAAACAAAAAAAAAAAAAATCATACGCCTGCAGCTCAAAGAGCACCGAGGTACTTTACGTGAGGATTTATTTTTCTTAATTTCCTGCTACTTTATACTTCTTCCAGAATACAATGCAAAGGAAAATGTACTTTTACTCACAGCATGTATCTGACACTATACTTACTACTTACTTAGCAGTAAATTATACATAGAAAACATAACCAGCTTAAAAAATATGATATATAGTTAGAGATTAAATTATCCAGCTGCATGGTTAAAGTTAGCGTTGTCAAAATGATATAATAATAATTTTATAAATAAATAATTATAATAATAATAGTTATTGTTTTTATTTTCACTAGGAGTGACGGGGTGCTGTACTGTTTACACACAGTTTTGGTTATTTCAGATGAGGCATTTCTGTGTTTGTGGTAAGAAAAACAATCCAATAATTGAACATAACAATATGTTTTCAGACTGGAATGACATCACACCAGTGGCATTAAACCACAGTCCTGGAGAGACTGTCCAAATTGAGTGCACCTATCCACACAGCCATGAGAACAATGAGAAGTTCCTGTGCAAGGGGGCGAATCCTTTCAACTGCAATCAGCTGATAAATACAACAGAGCAGGAGAGCGATGTGGCTAAAGGCAGGTTTCATATACGGGATGTCAGGAGAAAGAAGTACTTCTACGTGTACATCAACAATGTGAGCACAGACGACTCTGGGTACTACTGGTGTGGCTCCAGCAGGACGGGGGAGCATGCTGGATCCACCAAAATCCTCCTCTCTGTAGGCGAGTACACTGAGCACTTTTGTCTTCTACTCTAAACACACAACTTATTCACTCTGTACCTGTGAACCAAATGCAGGACAATTATTTTATCAGAACACATCTGTGCTGCTGTTGATGAATAGATGTGTAGTAACTTTGCAGGTTATTATTCACCCATTTTAAAGGTCTGTTCATATTGTTTTTGTCTCACACAGCTGCATAACTGAGCTGAAACTAAGTACATTGAAGTACTAGCATTAAGTAAATACTTGTACTTTACTTGAGTATATAAATTTTCTGCTAGTTAGCATAACTGCACAACATCTACTGACAGCTACAGTCACTAGATACATCAAATTAAGACTCAACATAGAAAACACACGATCAGTTGAAATACTATTACACATTTGCATGGATGACAGGTACTTGTACAGTGGTTAAAATTAGCTTCCTTTTGACCAGCTGCAACATGAAAGTTGAGCAGCTACTTTACCGGAGTATAAAGAGCAGCTGGTATATCAGTTAACAGTGTAGCCAAACAACTCAAGCTGGTATGTGTGTAGGCAAGTTGAATCCAGGGCAGGAATGGCAGACTCCACCACTAATGATGAAAACTACTCTATAAAAAGGTATTTACAGAATGTAAATACTTCTAATGGCTAGTGCAGAGAACAATGCAGACCATAAATAGTATCAACAATTAAAATGGATTTCATGAAAACCTTAAAAGGTCATAACTTCAAAATGCTGCTGTAATAATTTAAATAACAATATAACACTGACACGATTCTGCTTCACAGCAACTAAGTATTTTTTGCTTCCAATACTTTGAATGGGTTTGAATGCAGGATTTGTTCACCACTGAGTATTTATGAATGAACATAATGAGGGAAAGTACTGTGATTACAGTGATGGAGTATAACCTGCAGGGGGAACAAAGAGATGGTAAAAACAGAGATGGATGGATTGAGACAAGCTTCCAGCATCAAACACGACGTGTTGTGTGTGCGCCTTGTGCCTTGTGTCACATCTCTAATCTTCTGGCTTTTTACCCTCACACAACTGAAGAACACATCCCAACCAAAAGATCAGACCCTCCAGCTCTGCAGACAACAGAATCATCTACAACCCGTAAAGTTCTCCATTCAGGTGACCTCCGGCTGCCACTTGCTACTGCAAACAAACAGCTGCTGTTCACACCTCCTTAAATACACGCAACACTTTTACTGCAAAAAACAAACATCGACACAACCTCTCCCCTTTACGCATGAATTTTGAGGACAATGAAACTCTGCTGACGGCATGTATTCTTTAACAACTTCAACTGTTGTGTCTTTGTTGCAGATCTGATTGCCATTGTGGTAGTGTGTCTGGCCTTGTTACTGATACTTGTGCTTGTATTTATACTGTGCAAATACAAACTCCCAAGGACACAAGGTGAGGGTTAGATATTTGAAAAAACAACAACTTGAAAACTTAAGCTTAACTTGCACATGATTTTGATTATGAGTAACTTTGAAAGGTTAAAAAAAATCTGGTTTCCATCTACTCAAATGTTCTTGTTCCCAGTGTGTTGTGCCGCAGAGCAGAGGACAAACGATGAACACGACACAGAGGTGTGTGCGCGTTTGTGTTTATGAGTTTGCACATGCGAACTACAATTGCATCTATTACACTGCGCCCCTTCTTCCTCTGCAGGAAAATCATGGAGATCCCCACTATGACGAGATACAGATGCTGAACCAGCAGGCGAGCTCAGGAGACGCACTGCTGTCTGTCTATGCAACTGTCAACTGTCCCGAGGACCAGCTCCACTACGCCAGCGTCAACTTCCAGAAGGTCTCGACAGAGGGGAACGCACCTTCTGACACAGAGGAAAAACCGCTCGCCGACCTGTGACTACTCCTCTATCAGGAGGTCTCAGGGTGACACCCATGACCTTGATGACAGCTGGGTTTGGGTCAGTGACAGTGAATGCGAGTAAATCTTACACTTCACAAAAAATTGTTATTGAATTAAATTCTCTTATTTTAAAAAACAATTATTGTGGTTGCTTCTGTTTTCAACTTTTTCTGTGATCAAACATAATTAAGTGTCCATATAATAGAAAATATTCAGTGTTACCACTTTGAGTTAATCATGATCTATTAAGGGTCATAAGTGATGAACAGCGAGTGTACAGCATATTTGTATTAAATACAGTAGGCCTACATCTGGTGCATGAGAACACGTGTCGTCTTTACCTTGTGTTGCTGTGGAGCGCCCTCTTCTGGTTGAGCAGGTGATCAGCAGGTGATTGGCCGGTGTGACGACTCTCCAGCCTCAGCTGTCACATATATGTTCAACATCCACTAAAACCTCCACCTGTTACAGAGAAAAACAGCGATGTCTTTGATATTCACACCTAATTGGTGTTTTTGAGGCTCATTGATGGAATTGTATACTGAATGGACTGTAACTTTGTCAGATAATATATTCATTTGTCTAACTGAGACCGCTGGCGCTTCAGACAAATTTCTACATTATTACACAAAACGAGGACTGTTGATTTTGTCCCCCATCAGTTACAGTTAAAGTGCATTTGACAGACATCATGGGGACACTTTATGACAGCCATATCCATAATGCATTATAAACATACCTATTATTTTCTTAAAGCACTTATATTCATAGTGTGTGAGGGACCAGGGTACGCATAAAGCTGGGAGAGTGGGGAAAAAGTGGGATCCCCCCCCCCCAAAGTATTTACAATAATTAGGATGGATAACAAAATAAAGCCAAAGTGACAAATCAGAATAACTAAACATAATTGCACTGAAGTCTAAGTACAAGATAATTAAACAGAACTTAGTTTAAAACAACATAGTGAGTGCTCTTCTGAATAAGAATGCCCTCCCCATCTCCTACCTGCATGATATATATACTATGCTGGCCAGTCCATAGTTGATTGCAGGGGGTTGAAGACATACCTCCTCTGTGGTGCAGATGTAGTGGCTACTGTAACACCCCTCTTGCTGTTGTAGAATGGCACATTCCAATTGTCCAGGCTAATCTACTTAGGCAGGTGCAGATGCAGCTGCGCAGTCTTTTGCCAGAAGGATGGTCGGCTGCAAAACACTGACAGGAAAGTTAACACTTTTATCAACCGTAACTCGATATTATCTGATCGCGTGCACTCAATCTAGAATATAAAGTCAGTCTTTATATCTCGCATCATAATTTAAAGAACAGTAAAACAGCACCGTCACTGTGCCTGGTTGATGGTTTGGCTAGTTGCAGCCACCACATAATAATTTATAACAAAAATCATATCGCATTATAAAGCATTTTATGACTGTCAAGAATGATAATACTTTATAATTGTTGGTCACTTACTGACATTACTAATTTTTTCACTTTACTTAAAACAAGCATTTTAAAAAGATTATAATGCATTACCACTATGGGAGTTATAATATACTTTGATAAAGTGACTGTTATTAAGTCATTATATAATGCTTTTTAATGTTATTATTATGAAGCATTATGAGTATTTATGACTGCTTATTATTAGTGCTATAGGCAGATTATAACGTATCATAAGTTTGTTTTCTAGACATGGATGTCATGGCATGTTTTAAAGGTTATTATGTAATTATTCTAACAAGAAAAAACTGTTTCAATAACTTTTCTTCGTATTGAAAGTATTGAAACTGTATTGTAAAAATGATGACGTGCGCTGTATATTGACAGACGTCCCAGCTGACCAATGAGAGAGGAGAGTGACGCTGGAGGCGGAGCCACGATCTCCGGCGGAGGCTGGGTGTCGCCTGACCGGATGATGACCGAAGTTTTCGCTTTATTGTTGCTACTTTTATCATGCACTCACTCAGATATTAAGCTCGCCGGTGCTGTGACCGCGCTCGGGACTCTTGACTCTGAACTGCCTTGTGTTTTGCGGAAATAAACTCCCGGAGACTGCGGCAGACTGCAGTGACATCTGGGAACTTTTGCTTTGAAGAGCGACCCCTTGGCTCGTATTTGACCGGGGAGAAGAGCAGGATAGAGCCCGCTGGGCTGACCGAGCCGCCGCTATGGGAAACCGGGGGATGGAAGACCTAATTCCCCTCATCAACAAACTCCAGGACGCCTTCAGCTCCATCGGCCAGAGCTGCAACTTGGACCTGCCGCAGATAGCGGTCGTCGGCGGCCAGAGCGCAGGGAAGAGCTCCGTGTTGGAGAATTTCGTCGGGAGGTTGTACCGTTAATATGGATCAATCTGACGATGTGAATGTGATTTGTTTTCCTTCCGTGACTGTAGTGTGTGGCCCTTGTTGTTGTTTTAGGACAAACTACGCTGAGCTTTTGCGTAAAAGTCGCCAACTAAGCACTTGGTTGCGCGCTCAGTTTGTCGGTGCCTCCCAGTTCCTAACGCTTTTCTTTTTTTTCTGGTAACGGATTCTTTCCATTTTGGAGCCGAGCTATTCACGATCCATAATTACGCATGTTACGCATATAAAACAGCTGTTGATGGATAGCCAAAAACGGAGGCCACATTGATTTAAAATGTGTATAAAAGTGATGTTAGTCTGGAGCTCGTCTTCCTAGATTTATAGAAATATAACTTTGTATTGGCACTGATCTGTTCAGTCGCTGATTCACATTAGGCCCAGTCTGTCAAACATTGACAAAGGTTGTTCTCCTTGAGACTGCTTGCCAGCGCTGGTAAACACATCTTTATAGGCCTCGATTACAAAGGTCAGGTAGGCCACAAAAAGACAGTTGACGGATTTCACGAGGTCGCTGTCAGATAAAGTATTGAAGGAGAAAACGACAGGAGTCTGCACTCCCAGCATGCCTGCGCTGCTGAATGTCTTCGTGAGGTTGATGGATGAGTGTCAAGGAATTTGAATGAGTTGTGTGGATCCCATTTGATGACAAATGGAAGCAAACCCAACTGTGCCATTAACGCCATATGTTAGGATCTCTGCTCAGCTTATACCAACATAGGAAATAATCACTGAGCCAGTTTGTCTGGCAGTTAAAACAAGCCTCGAGGAAACATCTATCTGTAAGGAACGGGAAGGGGAAGAAGCCGCCTTAGAGGCCTAATCTGAAGATATCCGTAGCAGCTTTGTGTTTTTATCTCCCAGTGAAGATGGCCAGAAAAAAAGGGAACACTTGACTCGTCTACATGATTTCACTTGTTGTCCAAGGGAGAGGGAATGTTGATTAGCCCGCCACGTCTCCTTTTTTTCCTGTTGCCTTTTGTCTGCGAGTCCCAAGCAGTGGCTGGGGGAGACAGTAGGGGCATTGATGCGTTTGTGCTGGGGTCATCAGTGATGTCACCAGCTGCACTGTCATGTGTATATGACACACTGGGTACCAGATACCCACAGAAGGCTACTTAGCTGTTTACGCGTTTGTTAATTAGCTTGCAGTGACGTTGGCTCGTGAGATCAGTTTATTCTTTTATTTTTACTGGAGTAGGTTTTAGTCAGTGCTGTAGCTGTATACCCCTCCAATGGGTCACGTGATTAATCGGAGGGGTCACAAGATGATTAATGAGATAAAAAAGACAAAAATATAATTATTTCTATTGTTTGGTAAATATTGGATGGTTTTAAGTCTGGAGTTGTGCTCATATGTATGCTGTGACAGGGGGTGGCAAGAAGCCACTGCTCAATTTCACAGGGCCAAAAAGCCACACAAGTTGGAAATAGGGTCGCAACTAACGATTATTTTCATTATTGATTTTTGTTTTGTTTTATCAATTGTCTGTTTTTGTCCAAAATGAAAGATTTTCAGTGTGCAATGAAAGAAAACAGCTGAAACCAGATATATTTGGCATTTTTTACTAAAACAATTAGTCAATACTCAAAACCGCTGCAGATGAATTTTGATACTAATCGATTAATCAACTAATTATTTCAGCTCTCGATAGAAACCAATGATTTACACTATAAAGTCACAAAAAGAGCTCACGTGCACACATTTGAGGAGCTGTAACAGCGAATGTTTTGGTTGTTTACTGGATAAATGAAACGATGATTTAATTGATTAACCTTCTTGTTGGTAAATGTATTTTTCATGTTGTGCTTTCATGAGTGACAGGAAGAGATGAGGAAAGAGGATGGGAATCAGTGTTGTGTAACATCCTGACTGCTCTGTCAGCATGTGGACAACAGGCACTGTGTGTGTGTGTGTGTGTGTGTGTGTGTGTGTGTGTGTGTGTGTGT